ACATTCTGTTTCAATGCTGAATATCAAAAACATGCATGATTGACATATGTCCTTGTGTTTTAATTTTGATGATAACAATTTCCAATTTCTATTGTATATAAGATAATATTGTTTTTAATTTTTCGAATTTTTTAATCTTTCTTTATTTTATTGAATAATATTTTTATATTATATATACATAAGATGATGCCTAAGTAAGTGTAAAAAAATTAAGGGCATATTCTTTGGCTCTCTCTTTTATGAAAAAAAGGTCTTATGAATATGTAGTGGTGGTCATGAAAATAGACTCACCCATATATAAATTAATAAGATAGTTATTTTATTCGTCTATCTTTACTTGCCCGTAATGTCATTTATTGTACATCAGCAACAATTTATATCAACTAAAAACATAATAAATTATTGCTGAAATATTTATATTGTATTGCGAGAATCCTAAAGTGCTGTGGTATAAATTTGGTCATAATAATAAAGCCGAATTAGGTAAGTTTATTAACGAAAGTTTTGTTAAGTATTAAGTGATTTTATAGAATATGTATAATATATATATAAAATTATAATAAAATTTAGTCAATCATTTATACGAGTATGTAAAATTGTATATAAAATTGCAATAAAAATAGAGCGAAATATTCATTGTAAAATTGAGAGAATAAAAATCTTAAAAATCTTAATTTTATATACAATGAAGGAAAATCGCAAGAAATTTAAAAAATTATTAGTTGTTCTGAAAAATAATGGAAATATATTAAGAAATAATAGAAAATAATAAAGAAACTCGCATTTCTAAGGAAAAAATTATACCACGAATTGATCCTCAAATTATATATGTTTTTAACCAGTAACACTTTTCATTAGGCCGTCTTCAATTTGGCTGATATAGTGTTTTTTATTTAGTATTTGGAATGTAGTATTATGTAGAAAAGAAATTACATGCTGAATGAATTATTCAAAGTTATGGTGAATCATAATTTTTCAATAAAAATTGATAAATCTGTAAATCCTTATATAAATTCATAATTATACCTAATTTACGAAATTACATTAATGGTTTAACAAATTTCTTTTTACAGCACAAGGCACTTTAAGATTTTCACAACATGCATCTTATTTCGGCAATAATTCGTTTATGTTTTTTAGTTGATATGAATTGTTGCTACTGTGTAATGAATAACATTATCAGCAAGACAAACCAATAAAATAACTATATCATTAATTTTTATATAATTTATTCTTCATGACACTTCACGATCTTCACTACACTTTCCTACAGTATTTTATTTTCAAAAATAGAGTGTCAAAGTTGCGAAAAGAAATATAAAAATTTTGAAAATCTAATAAACGATTAAAGATATTTTAATCAATTTCAAATTTGATATGTTTATATGTGATATTAAAAACCATTTTCCAGTACAAATGAAACATTTTTAGATTTACTAGAGGCATTCGTATTGCAACAAAAACACTTGAAAACAAAGCACTTTAAGACATATGTTCAAAGGAATCATTTCTTTATGAAATAAATCAAGGAATGTCCCCATAAGTTTTTTTTTAAATTTGCTTAGGAATCACTTTGTACAAATGAATTTTATAAAATGATAAATGCATTGTTATTGTTGGACCGGAATGTGTGGCTGCGAAGATCGATTAGATGAATTAATCAATGAATGACTTTTTATGAATGACCGAATGAAGAAGGAAAATGCACGTGTATACGGCTCTCCACGCGCATATAGACGTACCTTTATGGCTTGGAAGACCTGCCAGTCCCTGTTAGAAGCTTCTGCAGAAAATCTATCGTTGGATATTCCCATTTACAGATCCGTGATATCTGCATTTTCTTATATGATTTGTAGATTCGGTAGTTTTGAGTGGATATTTATATTTTTATAGCTAAAGTAGGAACTTCATTTTCTTTGATTATCAAATTATTTTTTGTTTTTATTTCTAATGTAGTCCTTCAAAAAATTGAATGATGAAACATATCATTTCGACGGTTGTAATAACACTTGGTAGGAAAAGAAATTGTTATATCAATTGAAATTTTCACTATATCTTTTTAATTTTATCAATAAAATTTCTTTAATTCCAAATTATATCTCATTTTTGTAATGTTTTAACTTTTTTAATATATATTACATATATTACGTATTTTACACACATTTTTCTATTTATTTTATTTTTTTATTATATCACACATTATCTTATTATTTGACGTTTTTTAATTAAAAACATTTTACTTTTTTAGCAAATTATTTTTTCTTTATGCAAATGCTTTACATATTGTGATATTCGCTTGCAAGATTTAAGATATAGAAGAAAAACTGAAATATTTATATTTTAGATCATATTTTAATTTTAATTAGACCAAATTAATTATGTTTTATATTATGCAGATTATTAATTAAATTCTTTTTTACTGTTGTATGTTAATTAATCGCTTCCATAAAATTAAATTTTTTTTGCATTTTTCACAGCTTTAATCAGATCTTGGACATAATCTTGTGACATATTATCACACTTCACTATTTCTGTTATTTTTAAATATAATTGTTTGATTGTTTTCCGACGAATCGAATTATTAAATTATTTTTAATAGTAAAGAAGGAAAATTTATTTGATTAAATTGATAACGATTAATAAGATTTTAATTTCGTAGAAAACTTTTCACTTTAAATTGTTTTAAAAATACTTGCGATTAAATTTTAAGCAATTAAACTTCAACACAACTTTTTGGCGCACGATTTTTGGAGACACCGTCATGCTGGCGGTTTGGCATGTCAATGTCTCTTGGCTAACTAGCGATCTACCACCTATCCACCCACTCTCTCACCCCTTAAAGCGGCTCACTGACTACGTACGTAGCATCCAACCCCACTCCACTGCTTTCTGTCCCTTTTTTCTCTCCTTTTGTCTCTGTCTTGTTTTCCCTTTCTTTTCTTTCCCGTTTCTTCTTCTACTAACTGAAACTGTGTACTACATATCGTCGTCAGATCTCATATATCCCAAGTTGTGTGAAAGTTATAAAGTGATAGGATAGCGTTACATAACTTTTACTTTAAAAAACATCATTTTTATTTGAAAAAATGTGGAAATATTTATTAAAGATGTTATTTCAGAAATATTATTAAAATGGAAAGAGAAAGAAATACGTCATGTGAGAGAAGAAGGATAATGAAATATCAGATATGGCAAGATTTCGTTCTTTCTTGTATTTTTATTTGATCCTTTTTTATAAAGATGAATCCGCATTGACATATTATTTTAGAAGTGAAATTAAGTTTACTTATATCCAGCACAAACTAGCAAATAATATTTTTAATTATACATATTTAATCAAACCGTTACCGCTGTCCAACAACATGCAATATATGATATTGACATCGACAATACGACGATACTACACGTTTATATCATCGATGATTGGTAATCTTTTTTGCACTACAGTCACAATAATATATCTTGTTTGGCTGAATGGAAGAGAGGTATTATATTTTCTTTAGATAGTATAACCGCACACCGATCACGGTGGTCCTGTTCTTCGATACCCTTTTCGAGATCACCGGCTTGTAATGCCTTCCTTTTCGTGGATATTGACCAGTCAACAGTGAACTTGACCGTAGTATGCGGAGATCCTATGTTACTTTCCTATATAAAGAATTCGTTACTTTAACAACAATTTGACGTTATATCACGCTTTGAAAACATGGACTATTTAAAGATAATATAAATCTTCGATGTAGATATAGCGTAATTAAGATAAACATCCTTGCTAATATATTATTCTATTATTATTACATTATTAATTATTATATATTATTATCTATTTATATATAATATATAAGATATATAAGACATTTTTTTCTTTTTGTGATAAAATATGTATTTTAATGAGAAACATAATTCTCGTAAAATGTAGAAAAAAATAATTTAAGTAAATTGAGATAGATATATTGTAAGCAATCTCAAATTTATTATTAATTTGTATTTTCATCATGTGTGCATTGACTCTTCTTGATGAGCTTACAAGTATTCGACTA